TGCAGGGCAGCATAAAGCCCACTGCTCTCATTAAGACAGAAAAAAAAACATAGGTCAGTTCAGGTGTTTTATAAAATATGTGAATCAGGTCTATATACCAAACTGATTGATTGTTGTTCTCTACTTAAAAAAAAACACTTTAGATTTTAAAATGAAAAAAAAAAAATGTACAGTATATATATATATATATATATATATATATATTTTTTTTTTATTTAAACATTAAATGTATAAAATTAATGCATAAAAACCTCATTATTTTTATTATTATTATTATTTCAGTGTTAAATTCTATTTAAAGTAACAGATTATAATTAAAAATGTCTCCGGACCTTTACTGGTTGATAATTTTCTTAATTCAGACCCTGCTGATTTTTAATTGGTTACCCCTGCTGTAGACCATTAAAAGCAGGCTATTGAACTCAGCTTATCAGGACAGAAGTTCCACATATTGACAGTATAAACACTGTGGATATGAGGGCACTGCTGTGTTGCAGTGGCTGAGGGTGCGACCCTGTGGCTGTGATCATTGGTTTGAGTTCTGCATGTCTACCCCCTCTCTCTAATCCAATTTCCTGTCTTCCTACTTTCAAATTCAGAAAAAAAACTATTAGAGCCCCAAAAAATCTGGATATGAGTCCTGTTGGTAGAAACTGAAGGCTTTATCAGAAAGGTATGAAGCACAGGGTGGGACGAGGCTCAGAGTAAAGCATTCAGGCAGACCAAAGCTTATAGAAGATCAATAACAACAATTATTCAAGTTTCAAGTCAAGCCACTGACCACATGCAGCTCATCATGCAGACTAGAGCATCGCTGCAGAGTCAAACCTTCTTCTTTGTCCTCTTACACTCTCCATCCATCCCATCATACTCTGAGATGATGGACTTTATTATGGTAATAATAAATGTCTCCTCTTCCAGAACCTCCATCATGGACTTTCTCAGACTGCTAAAGACCTATGGAAAGGAGAGGAGTCAAGGGAACCAGTGTCCATGCAGCCTGGAGAAGGTAACGTATCTGCTGTGGTCAATGAGGCACGGCTGCAGACAGCCGGCACCAACGAGTAACCATAGCTTCAGGTGCCCTCTCGACATCCATTGGGTTATTTCTTGTCCAAATTCAGGTTCAGGCTAATAGTGTTGTAGTCAAGACCACAGCAACCAAGACCAAGGAGTACAGAGGCAAGGCCAAGACATTTAGAGACCAAAACCATGACCATGTAAGGTCTTGGTCTCGGTACTCCTTGGTCTTGGTTGGTGTGGTCTTGACTACAACACTACTGGTTAACTGAACAGATGATATGATAAAAGAAAATCGTAACTAGTGTTAAATGTGATGATACAGCGTGAAAAGGCCAATTTGTTAACGACTGAGAGCGCCGCTAAATATTTGTCCTTTTTGGCGCCTCTGCCTGCAGGAACCTTTGCAAGGAGTGAGATCCTTTGAGCCAGTGACTGAACAAAGTTGAAGGATCCCTCTTTACTGTCAGGGATCTATGAGTCAACATGTCAGAGGTAGCCTTAAACATTCAGGGTGGGGGTCTGTGGTGGGAGCGGCTTAGTTCTCTCTTTTTCAACGCTCGGTTCGTACCGTTTGCAAACAGAACGTTCAGACCCAAACCTGCATCTGTTGGACAACGATATAAAGGACGTCTCCTGTACCAAAGACGATTTCAAACAGCAAGACCAGGAAGATAGAGCAGCTGGCCTATTTGGAGGACTGCGCAGTTGTGGGAGAACATCAAGAAGGTCTCCAGTTCGATATCACCCTGGGCTATAACTGCACAGCGTGTCCATGTTTTCCCTGTACTCTCTGGTTTCTCCAGTTTCCTCCTACTGTCCAGAGATGTGACTTTTAGGCTAGTGGTTCTCTTTAAAATGCCAGGGCTTCTTCAGGGACCAGTGATAAATAGAGATATTCTACCAAACCTTCAGAATCAGCCTGATCCTTGAAATCACTGCTTCAGCTTTATAAATACTGGGTCAGAGTAAGATGTCGACTGCCCACAGTGATTAGTTTATGTCAGGGTCTTTGCGTTTCTATTTATACATTGATGCGAATTTGGTGAGACAATGTAATTAGGTAACGTTTCATTTCTTGGAAAAACTGCTTTGGTTGGCCGTAGGATCAGGTCCGCCTGTTGATCCAGTGGCCCACAGACCCTCTCAGAAGCAATTATCTGAGTGGCTTCAATCTTCCGCATCACCTCAGGAGGAGGTTCACCACTGCTGGATGTTCCCCATGGTTTCCTGCAGATGACCCAGTTCTGTCAAAATTAGACAGATGGCCTCACTGATTGATGGCCACAGCTGACCATAAACTGCAATGTTCTGAAATAAGCTCAACCATCAACACTCCTCCAAAATGTTTAATAGAGGAGGCCTTTTTATTTAACTTCCAAACCAGGTAGAATTAATTCCCCCTGGCTGAACAGGTAGCAGCTGACTGACTGTTCATTGCTGAGCGTGTCACGCTCTGGCGTTGGGGTGAAATGCTGGGATGTTGGGCTTTGGGACTAATAACTCTAACTGGCAAACACCTTCCTGTTCCAGACCAGATCTATGGAGCAGATTGTTGATGTGATTTTCTGATATGTCCTGGAACCTCAACTGTTCTGGCAAAGTTTCAATTCAATTAAATTCTGTTTATTTCTATAGCGCCAATTTACAACACATGTCATCTTAAGTTCACCAGATCATCCAGTCAAATTGATTCTAAGTTTTCTATCTAAGGAAAACCAGTATATCGCA